TCTCATTATCCAGGAGTGTGAGGCCCCTCCTCAGATTGGCCTATCTGTGCCTAGAAGTGCGTTATACCTATACCAAAGCATAATCAAATCTGTGTAGGATTGCCTACAAGAAAGGCCACAATATTTTTTGGGTCCCGAGCGTAAATGTTGTAAGACGAAGACTCCTGGATAGAGAAAAGTGTGTTTTTTTTGTTTGTGCAAATACAGCAAGTCTACCAGTGACCATTTTAGCATTAGCAGGATTAATAGATGTATTTGTAGTTTAGGCACCAAACAAAGAAATAAACTAACGTCAAGATTAATCCTGCACATCATTCTAAACAGTTATGGTCATTGTCATTTTTGTCATCATTATCAGCATAATTTTCAACATCATCTTCATCATCATCACATAGCTGCCAACTAGCATACAAAGTGCAAAAAAAAATTTTGAGGGTCTGAGTACAAAGTCCATCTTTGTGTCAGAAAATATTGTATTCTCTGTATTCTAATATATATCTCCTCGTGGACTTGCCAATACTAAAGAAAAGGTATGAACTTTCAGAACCAGATTTCGGAATAACATTGAGAATGAAACCTATAAGTCTACTGCTGTTGTGTCTCTTACCATAGATCGCTATTGAGCATGAATTTATTGAGTGCAGAAAAAATGTATGAAGCGTTAAGTGGGGGTTTACTAAGTCAATGTCCACCCTCTTGACCCGCCGTGTGGTCGTGTTGTATTTTCTGTTTTTGAAAAGTTACCAGCTTTGTTATCATTTATTTTCAAACAGTTTTCTGTTTCCTGGGGGGTTTTTTTTCCAGAAGCATAAAAATCACAACAATACTGACACATTTTCTGTGTCATTTACCAATATTTTGCACCAAATCGGAATACGAGACAAAATGAAACAGATCTTTTTATAGATGCATGACCATCTTCTCCAGACGTGGTGTGACAGTCTTGTGTTTCCTCTCCCCCTTTTCCCCAGACCCAGCGCGTGTGGTGGACATCACAAACCGACTGTCGCTCAACGAGGGAGACACCGCCATGTTTGCCTGCAAGGTGGACGCCAATCCCATGGTGCCTAACATTGTCACCTGGACACGGTCGGACTTCGACATGAGCCGTACCCAGACCAAGGTGGAAGGGGAGACCACCTACCTGTCCGTGCCTGACCTGACCAAAGAGGATGCCGGGACGTTCAAATGCGTGGCAGACAACAGGATAGGCTCCCCTGCCACCAGCAATGCCCGGCTCATTGTCAAATGTAAGAAAGATTGTGTCTGTTTGCTTAAGTAAGAGTTTTACGGTCACTTGCTGCACAATAAAGTCATATAAGTGCCGAAGATTAGAGGTGTTACAAGAGAGTCACAAACACAAAAAAGGAGGAGTGATTAGGATGATAGATGTTTGATAAGAAAGAAAGAGTCGACCACACCAGAGCACCCGCCAACCACCCACTGTGTCTGTTTACTTTTCTGTTCCATAGCTTACTGATCAGACATCAGGTAATCTACTACATCTGACCAACTGAATCTTCCTTAAAAGTAACATTACAATTTAGTCTGAAAGTCGGTAATATGTGCAGTAACAACATTAAAATTTGTGTCTCAAGTTCACAAGGGGTAAAAAAATTAACCACAGTCTAGCGTGCAGCAAGCTAAGTCGGCATGGTGTGGGAATCTCCTTGTAATGTAAGTGTTTTAATTACAAAGAATATATATGTATTATAAAAAATTGGTAACTGAAAATCTGTTTGCTATGTGAGTGTTTGGCTACGTGTGTGTGCCCTATGTGCTTGCTAGACTAACAAACATTACTCTTTGTTATTTCGTTACAGTAACCACAAGCAGTACTTTTTGTTTGTCACTCTCTTGTGACCCGCTATTTCCGGGGTGCCTTGATAGTCGAAGCAGACTTTGCTCTGTTGAGGCTAGAGAGGTGAGCAGAGTAAGCCTGATTCCCCGTTTGGACTTCTCTGTTGACATCCACCTGTTGGCGCTCATATGACCGTGTGCAGTTACGAGCTCTGTAAAACCTCTACTAAAACTAAAATAAACTAACAAAACAAAGAGGGAAAAGAAAATAACGATGATGATGATTATGGTTGTAGAAAATATTGATTTCCTGTGTGTTTTATCGTTCCAGTCAAGCCGGTGATTGACAAGTCTCCGGAGACGAGCCGTTCAGCCGGGGAGAAGGGCACGACGGTCACTCTGAAGTGTAATGCTGAGGGGGCGCCATCAGTCTCCATCTCCTGGACCAGGGTCAGTGTGTGTGTGTGTATGTGTGTGTGTGTGTGTGTGTGTGCATGTGTGTGTGTGTGTCTATGTGTGTGTGCATGTTTGTGTGTATCTGCGTGCGTATGTGTGTGTGTGTGTGGGGGGGTGGACTTGACGGTCACTCTGAGATGTAAGGCTGAGAGGGCGCTATCAGTCTCCATTTGTTTGACCAGGGTCAGTATGTGTGTGTATGTGTGTTTGTGGGTGTGTGTGTGTGCGTGTGCATCTGCGTGTGTGGCAGAAAGAGAGAGAGAGACAAACAAACAGACAAAGAAGGATGCGAGATAGTAATCCTTTTACATATCCCCCCCCCCCCCCCTCACTGGACTGTCAGTTACCATGGTTCAATGTGCTCCCACAGAATAACCGTGCGGTGCGGTCTGGAAGCAAGTACCGGATCAACTCGCGCTCCTCTGGCTCCATCAGGTTTGAGAGCACCCTCAAGGTGAAGAACTTAACGCGCGAGGACTATGGGGCTTACGTCTGCACAGCCGCCAACAGCAAGGGAAGCGACTCTCATAGCATCACGCTCAGCGGAACGAGTAAGTTCAGGGACTTGAGGCTGATTGCTTCTGAATTGTTTAACACTTACAGTACCGTCAGCAACTTTAGTCGCCAGGTCGTAGTGTGCGCTCATTACCGCTGGCGACTTTAGTTGCCGATGCAACCAGACGCACTGAACATAATTAAACAGAATGGACACGCTGCACTGGAGTAAATACCAAAGGAACTCTATATGATTGGTGAATGGTTGATGAACCTCAATGAATTTATTAAAACGTGTTTCTTATGTTGCCAAGTTTTTTTAATTAAAAAAATTCTATGAGGGCTTCAGCGATCTAAACTGATGCGGTACTTGAGGGTTTTTTTTAAATGTGAGCCTGTGGTACCGTAAGTGTTAAGTTTTGCCATTGGGATGTAAGCCATACACAAACAACTTTTGGGAGATAAAAATTTGAATTGCCTTTTCTTCCATTTTGCAGTGAGTTCCAAATTTTGCCTTGTCTTTATTAATCTATGTGGTTTAATGGTTTGGCTTTTCACTTTCGCTTGCAGAAGATGAGAGTTTGATTCCGGTGTAGGAATGTTATTTATTGAGTATCTCGCCATGTCTGCTGGTATGGGTTATCCCATTCCACTCAAGTTGCTCCTACCAGGCGGGGTTGATCCAGCCTGGCTCCCTCATGATGTGAATTGTGTCGAAGGGTGGATTTTTTTTTGGAGGGGGGTGTTCTAATTAGTTGGAATTTTTTCCTCACAATCTTGTACATGTGCCTGTCCTCAGGCAAACACCCCCCCCCCTCTCCAGGTGGTGCTACTGACTGAAGATATCTTTAGGCCGTTTCCAAAGGAGGGACATTAACATGTTCTTATGCACAGTAGAATTGTAAAGGGCTGATTTATCAATGTCATGCTTATACTGTGCCGGAACAACATTTGGGGAACTTCTGCTTTTTATTTCCTCATCCTTACTATCGTCATTTTCCTTCTATTTCTTTTGTATGTTTTTCACTCTCTTGTGACCCGTTATTTCCAGGGTGCCTTGATAGTCGAAGCAGACTTTGTGCTATTGGAGCTAGAGAGGAGAGCAGAGTAAGCCTGATTCCCTGTTTGGACTTCTCTGTTGACATCCACCCGTTGGCGCTCATATGACCTTATGCAGTTGCGAGCTCCATAAAACCGTAACTTACTAAAACTAAACCTGTCCTCAGGCAAACCGTACCCCCCGTCCAACATCACGTTTGTCAACGCCACATCCAACAGCATCACTCTCCGCTGGAAGGCGGGTTTCGACGGCGGGCTGCCCCAGTCCTTCCGTGTACGCTACAAACCCACGGACAAGAGGGGATACGTCTATGTGGATGTCCGGCCCTATGGAGCAAATATCTACAAGATAAAAGGTAGGTGGTGGGAGGGTGGGACGGAGGGAGAGAGGGAGAGGGGGAGAGAGAGAGGGAGGGTGGGAAGGGGGAAGAGAGAGAGGGAAAGAGAGAGAGAGAGAGAGAGAGAGAGAGAGGGAGGGTGGGAAGGGGGAAGAGAGGGAGAGAGAGAGAGAGAGAGAGAGAGAGAGAGAGAGAGAGAGAGAGAGAGAGAGAGAGGGGGGGGGGGTCAGGGACAGGGAGACCGAGAGGGAGAGGGAGAGAGAGAGGTGGGGGAATGTGTAGGAAGAAAGTTTTTAAGGAGATGCCCGTGTATAGAATCTATTTTCTACACAAGCACACAATGTTACTCAATAATAATAATCTTAATATTTTGTCCATCGTAAAAAGATGATGACTTTTAATGTCACAAGAGGAAGAGAAGACCTTGCTAACCACCACAGGTGGCTTCTGTGATAAAGCTAGACAAGTAAAGAAATAAAAGCAAGCAATTTGTAATAATCAGAAATGTCACATCTTACCAGACAGGGCCTTTCCCTCTCCTTTAGTGGTGTGCAGATCTGCCTAAGAATATGGTTAGTTGTTTTAATCCTATGTATGACTTCATTTGTGACCTTCAAGAACTCTTCGTTTTGAGGAAAATGTTCTACAAACAGAGGACTTGTGGTCTGTTGGGCCAAAATGTCTGCGTCAGGATTTGACTGTGTTGATTTTCTTGCCTCTCTCGCTGCCCAGTTTTACACAGTCGTTGTCACTCAATACCTGTGCTCCACTTTCAGGTCTGGATCTGGGAACGTTGTACGAGTTTGCCGTGCTGGCCTTCAACGACAGGGGAGAGAGTTCCTACATTGCTCAAGGCATCCAGGCCAAGACGTCGGGTGAGACTGTCCTTACAGATTTTCCAAAGTTTTTTATATTTATTTACCAACCACAGTGGAACCTATTCTATCATGATACACTGCTTTATGCGCAGATTCCTTTTTTTCTTTCTTTTTATTGTCTAAAATTAAATTCATTTCCCTGCCTTTTGATACACACAGCACATTTGAATTTCTCTTCTAAAAATTAGAAGAAATATTTTTTTGGGATTACAGTGAAAAAGGAAATAGTAATAATAACGCCCTTTAGTTTGCCTCTGCCTGTGATGCGTCTGCAAAGAAGAATGCGTGTCGTAAGTGAAAGAGAAGAAATAAGGGTTAAGATGACTATGGCCCAGTAGACCAATTCTGGCAGATATGTGTTTACCACATTTTGAACATTTAAAAGCTCTATTTCCACTCTTGGATAGAAAGAAATGATGGATGATGAATGCCTAAATGGCCAGGTCATCGTGAGGAAGATGTTCTTGTATAGAAAGTTAATTCTTTAACCCTGAATTTATTCCCCATGTTTTTACGTTTTTTTCTCCAGATCTCGTGTAGTAGGTTAAGGAACATACATAAAAAGTGTTCTTAAAGTGGCTAAAATGTGACTAAGTGAACCGGAGGTATTTTTATTTTTTGGTCCAAATAAACCGACTCTGATTTGAAGAGAGCTTAAATTCTTAAATGTTATTTTAAACCTAGACTTTTGACCACAAATTTTTAGCATTTTAAGTAGAAATATTGACCAGAATCAGGCCGTGCTGTGAGCTGTTATGAATGCAACCAACTCATGTTTCGTGCGCTCATATGACCTTATCATGTCTTATGCTGTTGCAAGCGCCATAAAACTCTTACTAAAGGAAGAGAGCACATTTGCAATAATACTTCATGTACTCTGCGATCTCATTGGGTGCTGGTACCATCCACTCGGGGACTGCGCTAGTTTCACTGGAGGCTCCCATCGTCCACTTTGGATAATTGAATTAACAAATGTGTTGTTTTTTTGGGGTAATTGAGTTAACGAATGTGATTTTTTCCCCCCCCGTGGTAGTTGAGTTAATGAATCTGTTGTTTCCATGTGTAATTGAGTTAACAAATGTGTTGTTTCTCTTTGGCAGACGTGGTGGCCCCGACGGACATCGCCACCAAGGAGCTGGAGGGAGCAGACGAGATCCCAGTGATCATCATCCTGGTGGTGTGTATTGTGGGCGTGTTCATCCTGGCCCTCAACGTTGGACTCATTCTCTTCTTCATTCAGCGGCGCAAGAAGAGGCTAGAAGGTATGAACACTCTCACACTTGCACACTCATGCTGATACACATTAACGGACAGACACTGACATACACACACGTACACGCACACACTTGCGTGCACTTTTACGCAAACACCTGTGCGCTCTCAGTCTCACACACATATACGCACATGCACACTTGTGCTGACACAGACACACATAGGCACAGTAACTGACGGGCATACGTACACACTCGCACACGCGCACACACGCACACGCACACACACACACACACACACACACACACACACACACACACAATGCGCCATTTAACAATCACTAATATCATGTCATATTTCTTGTTGTCACATCTGGCACTAAGCAGACTACTGATGTAAACTGCTAGTCAATGTTAGCATCAAAATGGGTTGATAAAGCTGTAAAACAACTACCGCTTATATCTCAAGTTGGTGTCAAACTGCTGGTAACCCCCACAAGAAGTGACTTCTTGTTATTTCTCAAACTTGGTTAATAATGCCGTAAAACAAAGATTTTTTACATTTGTTGGCATCAAACTGTGTTGATAATGACAAAGTATCATGATGAGTGCTAGTTATTTCTTTTGTTGGTGTCACACAATGTGGATAATGTCAAAGTATCATGATTACAGTAAACTACTGCAAGTTATCTCTCTTCATGGTGTCAAACTATGTGGATAACGCCATAATGTCCTGTTGACTGCTAGTTTTTCTTGTTGGTGTCAAACTGTTTTGATAAAGCCAAAGTATCGTGATGACAACTAATAATAATAATAGTAATAATAAATAGCATTTGTATAGCGCATATCCCCGCTCAACAGCAGGCTCTATGCGCTTTACACTATATTATTACCCCAGCAGACCAAAGAACACTCCGAAACATTCTCAGCTTCCCGGGAAGCATACAGTGCAAGCAGCCGATTAAGCACTCAAACACTAACAAACTGACAAGATCTTTCGCTGTCTATAGCCGGGTACCCATTCCCACCTGGGTGAAATGAGGAAAATTCGTGTAAAGTGCCTTTCCCAAGGACACAACGTCGGGCCCCTGGTGGGATTCGAACCCGCGACCTTACGGTTGCGAGTCCGAGAGCCTAACCACTAGGCCACCGACGCCACACTAGTTATTTCTTTTGTTGGCACAAACTGTGCAGATAATGTCACATTATGATGATGACGATGACAGCTGGTTATTTCTCTTTGTAGTGTCCAACTGTGGATAGTGGCATAAAACAGTTACTAATAATGTTTTTCTCTCACTGTCGTCCCAGCCGGCGCGAGCGAGACAACAAGCCACACCAACACGTTTGAACTGTACGGCACTGGCAAGGGGGACCACTCCATGTGCCCCGCACCCTCTGACGACACGCGCAGTTATGGGACTTACGACAAGAGCATGGACGATTTCTCTGACGACTACATACGGGATTACGAGGTGGGTTGGGTGGGGGTAGATGGAGGGAGGGGGTGGGCTACATTTTTTGTGTGGGTGTGTGTGTGTGGGTGTGTGTGAGAGGCAGAGGGGGAGATAATGTGTGTTTGTGTGTGTGCATGTGTGTATATGTGTGTGTGAAAAAGAGAGAGAAAGAGAGAGGGAGGGAGGACAGATTTACTGTTATTGTATGTAAAAGAGAGGGAGAGAGATAGAGGTACTGTGTGTTAATGTGTGGGAGAGAGAGAGAGAGAGAGAGAGAGAGAGAGAGAGAGGGTGAAAGAGAGAGAGAGAGAGGGTGAAAGAGAGAGAGAGACTGAGAGAGAGAGAGAGGATATAAGTGTGCACATGTGTGTGTTTGACTTTTACGAAAACCCCCAGTGTGAAGCTTACAGTTTTTGCATTTTATCTTTTTATTTGCTCATATTAAACTAAAAGTATTCAGCACTGACCAAAGACAGCTCTTGTGCCAACATTGTTGAGCTTTTTAACTGCTGCCTGCATCTTTTTAAAACAATTTTTCTTTCTTTTGATGCACCCCCTAAGTCCTTAGTGTTGTCGACTGGCTTTTGAGAGATTTTGATTTTTCTGCTTCCTCTCATGCTCCTTTGTGTGCTTTTGAAATCTCTGCAAACTTTTTTAACATGGCTTTTTTCCCTGCCCTTGTAGCTTCTAGCCCCAGTTTACCATCGCCAAAGATTGTTCTAGAAGATTTTGTCAGTCACATCTCCATTCGAGTAAGCAAATAGACGTGGGTAATTGGCGGGCGCTGTGGTGTGGTTTGCTTCTTCTTTCCTGTAAAAAATTTATTGCCCATATCTCTACACCATTTCTTTTTTGTTACTATCAGTACCATCTCCAATTTTTGGCTCTTATACGACCTGTTTGTGTTGCAAGGGCTGTAAAACTCTTACTAAAATTAAAATAGAAGCAAATAAGGTTGCCTTAAAGGCCCCAGCGATGATATATTTTAAAAAATAATGTAGGATAATATATTTAGAAAGGGACGACGTATTTATCTTTTGTACAAAGGGTACAAGGGAAGGTTGCTCTGTAGGAGCTCTTTGAATTTTGTAAACAATCTTTGTTGCAATGCACTTCACAGTAGAAACTTTTGTTAATTAGTTTTTAAATAGATGAGTTCTCTCTCTGTCTCTGTCTCTAATATACCTTTCCCTCTTTCTCTCTCTCTCTCTCTCTCTCTCTCTCTCTCTCTCTCTCTCTCTGTCTCTGTCTCTAATATACCTTTCCCTCTTTCTCTCTCTCTCTCTCTCTCTCTCTCTCTCTCTCTCTCTCTCTCTCTCTCTCCCTCTCTCTCCCTCTCTCCCTCTCTCCCTCTCTCCTTCTCTCCCTCTCACCCTCTCTCTCACCGAGCTAGCCTGACCCCTGTCCACTTACATCCCTGCCACTGGCCGTTCAGGGAAAGACCGGCTTTGCAGCGGTCATCTCTGAGCTAGAGACCCTGAGCTATCTGCATGAGAACCAGAACCGCAGGGTGGAGGGATGGCCCCGGCGGCCTGAACCAGTAAATTGTTTCCCTTCCTTGAGAGAAATTGTTCCATATTGGTCAAATTGTTTCCTTTGACAGAAATTGTTTCTCTTTGGTTAAATTGTTTCCCTTGAGAGAAATTGTTTCTCGTTGGTTAAATTGGTGTTTTTTAAAGAGAAATTGTTCCTCTTTGATTAAACTGTTTCCCGTTTGTTAAATTGTTTCTCTTGAGAAAAATTGTTCCTTTTTTAAATTAAATTATTTCCCTTTTGTTAAATTGTACCTCTTTGATTAGATTGTGTCCTTTGAGCGGAATTGTTCCACAGTGGTTAAATTGTTTCTCTTGAACGGAATTGTTCCACAGTGGTTAAATTGTTTCTCTTGAGCGGAATTGTTCCACAGTGGTTAAATTGTTTCTCTTGAACGGAATTGTTCCACAATGGTTAAATTGTTTCTTTTGAACGGAATTGTTCCTTTAAAAAAAAAAAATAGCTAGCGTCCTTTGAGAGGAATTGTTCCACTTTGGTTAAATTGTTTTCCTTTCATGGACACTTTGGTGCAGTGCGCAGATTTGTATTATTTATTTTATATCCTAGAGTGTGCACTCTGACGAAATCCCCATTCACTATGGAAAACACTATTTGCCTGAATTTGGAGCTAAATATGGGAAGGGGGGAAGGGGTGCAGCTCACACTTAATTATGGTGAAACTGATGTTTGGCTTTTCGTTTCGGTGCCCATGGTTACGCACGTTTGGCAGCAAAGTTTTTGTAGGGAGCAAAGAGTGGCGGCCATGACAGGGCGTGGTCTAGGATGCAAGTCTATGGTTGGATGTGTTCTTTACTCCACACCTTTAAGCGATTTGATTTGTCAAAAAGATCTTAACGTGTCTGGAGGAGTGTAGAAGAAGCTGTTTCTCATGGGTTGAGGGGGAAAGAGGGGGGAAATGGGGGTTGGGGGAGGGGAGAAATGGGGGTTGGGGGAGGGGAGGGAGTGCGGCATGAGGGTGGAGGATTAGGGTGGGGATGAGAAGGGGGGAGGGGGGGGGGGAATGAAAAAAAATTTACCTTGGAAAGTTCACAATAAAGTATAAGGTGCTCCTTCAGAATTACTTGTATAGTGGGCCGTTAGTCATTTACGAAGACAAACTAAACCCATTATTACTGGCACCTGCGGTGTAGCGGTTAGCTCTTTCGCTGTTGCACACAGGAAGTCCCGAGTTCGATTCCTGAGTGGGGAGAATTTTTATCAAGTGTCTGGGTCTTTCTCCTGGGATATTGTATCCTGCTCAGTGCATGCTGGCCCTGATAGGCAGGCTTGAAGCCTGCACCGTAAACGATCTAAATTGTGTCAGTGGGGGCTTAAAAATACCAACATTTGAAAAGCCATTGTTGTGTGTTACATTATCTTAGCAATAGATACCTCTTATGTATAGGTTGATTCTAATGGTTTCTGAAACGAAGAGGACAAGATGTGTCTCAGACCACCGTCCTGTTCCTCCTCAACATTGCGAGAACAGATCGACACAACACGCTACATCGCTGATGTATATGTTGGCCTTTTTATTGCCCTGTTCTTGCCCACTTTTTGATCTGCTCTTTTTTAACGGTTTACTTTTGTTTTGCTTATTTAAAAAAAGAGAAAAAAGTTGTAGTCTCCCCTGCTGTGTGTGTGTTTCTGTGTCAGTGTGCGTTTTACACACTAGATCTAGTTTTCTAAGGCTTGATTTCTTAATGGCGAGATTTGCTGTTGATATGTTATCTTTTTTATGTCTCTTTTATAGCTTTTCTTCCGTCCTTTAACTAACTTTCTCTCTCTATTGCCCCCTTTTCTCCCTCTCTCTTTCTCCCTCTCTCTCTCGCCCTCACAATCTCGCCTCTATCTCTTTTGTTTTAGTTGATTGTGACTTGTCTACCAGTCAGCCTGTCTATTTCTGTCTGTCTGTCTGTTTGACCTAGCAGGCCCATTTTGAATTTTGAACATTGCTTACTGCGTAGATAATGTCAGACAAGTTTTTTTCTTTTCTTTTGATAGTTCTGATTTGTTTATTGAAATTCTTTGTTTCTAGTATCCTGTTTTAGCGTCTGTATTTTGTTTTTACTCTTTAATCATGCTATGTTCCTGTGTGGTTGCAGTGCAGTTCCCCCTTGATCCAGGGTGGGAGTCCTGGGATATGAGTGGGGAGCTGGGACCTTCTGATTGTCTGTCTTCTCTGCTGTCTTGTCTGTCCTGTCTGTCTGTTCAGAGGTGATAAACTGTAGAGGTGATGGTCTGACAATAGATAGGTGATGGGCTGCAAAGGTGATGATCTGACAATAGAGGTGATGATCTGACAATAGATAGGTGATGGGCTGTAGGGGTGATGATCTGACAATAGAGGTGATGATCTGACAATAGATAGGTGATGGGCTGTAGGGGTGATGAACTGACAATAGAGGTGATGATTTGACATAGATAAATGATGGGCTGTAGAGGTGATGATCTGACAAAAGAGAGGTGATGGACTGTAGAGGTGATGATCTGACAAAAGAGAGGTGATGGACTGTAGAGGTGATGATCTGACAAAAGAGAGGTGATGGACTGTAGAGGTGATGATCTGACAAAAGAGAGGTGATGGACTGTAGAGGTGAGGACCTGACAATAGAGAGGTGATGGACTGACTCTAGAGGTGGTGGACCACTTTTGCTTTAGAATAATCGAAGTTTTGTTGTTGTTACTGTACTGGTTCTGGTATAACACTTTAGATAGGGAAATAGAGAATAGAGTGTATTGAAGCAAAAGAAACATGGATATAAGTGATCAGCGTCAACAATAAGTATTGAAATAAAGAAGAATCAAAACAAAGATAGCAAATTTATGCATTCCAAAAATCAAAGAAGTAAGTGGGATAAAATTATGTTCAAACTACAGCTGCTTCAGATTAACTGGAGATACTGAAATGGTCAAAGGAAATGTTTTAGTCAGATCGTCAGAAAACATAATCTTGGTGAAAATCCGGTGACAAAGAAAGAAAGAAAGAAATTACCACCCTTACTGAAAGCAGACGTACAAGCTGCGATTTTCAGAAAATGGAACAAGGAAAAGCCAGGGGGCCAAAAGAATGAATTACGAATCATGATTGCCGATGTCTGTCGCTGATCTAGTACTTGGTGATGACTGGTTCTTTTGTGTAGAATTGCTTCCTGTCTTGTTTGTTCACTGAGCCTTGGTTTGGTGCAGGGTGAACTGTTTGCTTTTGTAACTTAGTGTTGTTAGAAAGTATGGCACGGTGATGGTTCTTGAGTGACGTTGTGTGTGTGTGTGTGTGCGCGCGTGTGAATGTGTGTGAGTGTGTGGGCGTGAATGTGTGTGAGTGTGTGTGTGTGTATTTGTGCATACGTGCGTGTGTTGACTTGTGCGTGTGTTTAGCTGGCAGTTATTTTCTTTTATGATTATTTTGCTATTTCTCTGAATAGCCCTTTGTGCTGTGATGATAATGATAGACTGCTGCAGTAAAGCCTTTTGCCATCTGGGTTTATGTCCTAACATCATGGTAGTTGCTGTTCGCCTTTTTGTGTTTGGTTTGGGTTTGTTCCCTGTGACTGTCAGCCAGTGGCGTCTGGATTTCTTGTATGCTTTTGACTAACACTGACCCTCGCCATAGCGTGATGTGCTGTACACTCAAGATATTTCTGCTTTTGGGCAAATGAAATTTACGTACATAGATGTCTTGCACATTTTACAAAAATATAGGTGTCTTGCTTTTCACTTGCAAAAAGATCTATTATTATGGCTTCACAATAACATGCAATTTCACAAAGGAATTTGTTTAGTTGTGTTTTTTTAAATTGTTTTTAGCAAATGTAATCAATGCTTTGGAGACTGAAAGAGAGGAAAATTGGGAGAAGAAAAGAAAGAATGGGGGGAGAGGGGAGGAAAAGAGAAAGATGGAAGGAATGAAAGGGGTGGAGGTAGATGAAAAGAGAGAAAGATAGATATATGAAGATAGATTGAGAGAGAGAGAGAGAGAGAGA